CATCAGAGATGATTATGTTTGTCTGTCAAAAGATATTGTGATTGGTTATACACATGATAATGAAGATTCTATAAACATGCTCATTTAGAATGTTTTCCCATCACTTGTGCAAAATGCGAGATTAGCACAATATATGAGCACACGTGCCATCCTTTCAACAAATAATGAGCATGTTGATCAACTAAACTCAAAGATGATTGCCATGTTTCTAGGTGAGGAGAAGGTTTATCATAGCTTCGACTCTGTTGATGATGATTCAGTTAACAACTACCCAATTGAATTTCTGAACTCTATTACTCCAAACGGTCTCCCTCCACATGTGCTGAAAGTAAAGACCAACTGCCCTGTTATTCTACTCCACAATCTTGATCCTAATAATGGCTTGTGCAATGGAACAAGACTAATGGTTAGAGCATTCCAAGACAATGCAATTGACGTAGAAATTGTTGCTGGACAACATCAAGGAAAGAGAGTGTTCATAACTAGGATCCCTATGTCTCCATCTGATGATATTTCACTCCCATTTAAGTTGAAGAGGAAACAATTCCCAATTCGGTTGAGTTTTGCAATGACCATCAATAAAGCGCAAGGGCAAACCATTCCAAATGTTGGAATATATCTTCCAGAACCTGTGTTCTCACATGGACAACTTTATGTTGCATTGTCGAGGGGTGTGTCAAGATCAACGACAAGAGTTTTGGTGAAACCAAATCAGGAATTAGATTGCAAATTCACCAAAAATATTGTTTATAAAGACGTCCTAAACTGTTGACTAATGGTGGGTGTACTCAAACATTTTCTATTTTTATTTAGTATTGAATTTTTTTAAACCACAAATAATTTGTGACGTCGCACTCTTTCCAGGATTGATGCCTTCTCAACCTTTGCTTACTCCATGGGACTATTGGAAAAAATTTCTTGTTTGTTTATTTTCATAATGTAAAAATAATATCATGTCAGTTTTGTAATATGCCATATACGACCTTATTGTGCCTTCTTATGAGTGTGCTACAGAATGTATGATTAAATATAAGTTTGTGACTGAGACTATTGAAAATTTTTTCTTGTTTGTTTATTTTTATGTGAGTCACGTAAATGGAACCGTTGCGCTAGGTGAGGTCCCTTGATCATGGTCCTCTGTTTTCTCTTTTTGGGTGTGTGTCGTGGCATTTCCTACCCTATCTCAAAACGCTTCAAGATGGCACCCAGTAGGGGGTGTGCGTACTGCTCCCTAGACGAACAAGATGGTCATCATCTCCGACTCCATGGCTACGCCGAACGGCCTCACATTCACCATCGGCTAGGTCACCTGGACTATCGGCTCCGACAACTTCATCGCCATGACCACAGAGGAAGCGCAGATCTAATCTGCGTCGACCACTGCTTCACCAGCATCGGCTATGGCTCCGACCACGTTGGATCTAGCTCCGGCCACACCAGCATCTTCTTCAGCCACGCCGACAACCCATAACCTTCTAGGAAGATCTCCGACTGCGCCCGACCTCGGCTTCTCCGACTGTGCCCGACCTCAGCTGGACATGTCCGAGGGCTTTTGCCTCCCCATGCGATGGAGCTAGGTACATGCCCTCCGACCACCAAACTAATCGAGCAGCCACGTCGACCACGTCCCGAGCGGCTCCGCTGAGCTCCGACCACGTCGACCATGGACCACGTCTCGAGCGGCTCTGCCGAGCTCCGACCACATCGACCACGGACCACGTTGACCACGTCCCAAGCGGCTCCGCCGAGCTCCGACCACCTCGACCACCAGACCACGTCGCAATGATGATTGCCACGAAGAACGGCGCTATGACAACCGCGACCACCGTCACAACAGGCCGAAAAGCACGAGGACCGGACAACTTTATCGACATCGACTAGATTTCTATCAAAGATAAGTACACTTCTAATATTTATATTTAATATAATTTTCATTACGATGTTTCTCCACAACGTACTTATCATGATTATTCTTCAAATAACGTTTGTCCATGTATACCATCTTAAAATATAACATACAGCTATACTTAATGCAAATCCTCGACCAGTCATGTTGACGCTCGATGTCTCTAGAAATGGCCCTGTCTCCGGCTATACCATCTTAAATATAAGTTTGTGACTGAGACTATTGGATAAATTTTCTTGTTTGTTTATTTTTATGTGAGTCACGTAAATGGAACCGTTGCGCTAGGTGAGGTCCCTTGACCATGGTCCTTTGTTTTCTCTTTTTGGGTGTGCGTCGTGGCATTTCCTACCCTGTCTCAAAATGCTTTGAGATGGCACCCAGTGTCTGCTGAACGCTGTATGCCTGCATGCTTTGACCGAGGAGGCGAGTGGCTCCAGCCTTCACGTTGCCAGCGAGGAGTAGATGGGATCGCTGCTCGCTAGCATCGCGCGGCACTTCGTCTGGCGGCTCTGCATCACGCAGCGTGGAGCAGCGCTAGAGCGAAGGACGGGGGATGTTGCGATGAGGAGGCTCAATGCCTGATAGGCTCTTCTCTATTGGGCCATTGGCATTTGTTCCGGGCCTGACGTAGATATATAAGATATGTGCAACAATCAGCACGACCACCGACACTCGCGATCAACGCGCGACTTCGAATCAAGGAAGCCCCGCCCATAGTCCTCGTCGGTCCTAGCCGCCGCCACTGGGGACGCTGAGCCCTCGCCCACCCTTGCCGCGACCGCGGATGATGGAACTTTAGAGTAAGTCTTTCTTCTTTCTAAATAGTTCAAAATAGAATTGTTTGTGCATTAAGTAATTAGTTTCTTGTTCTTCTTTTTTTACAGTAAAGAGTGGGTACGAAGTACACGACCATATCCAATTACTTTAAGTCTTAGGAAAATTATAAATATTTTATGTGAAGATACAGATATTGAACATGAAAGCTTTAATATGACTATTCTGATGGTTGCATGCAACAAAGAAATGATGTTGCATAAACAAAAATATCACTTCATGGATCTTAAATTTGCTGTAAGTTCTAAAATTCTATAATTCAACAAAAACTTGTAATATATGTGATTAAAAAATTATATACTGACAACTACAATCATCATCAGGAAATAACTGGGTTTGGAAGAGATCCATGATGTGCTGGTGGCATTGATAAGGTATACTACAACAAAATTGAAAAAGGTACTTGAGTGCTGGCCAGACATGCACTACAAAATTCAAGATTGTAGCCAGGTATGTTATGATCAGTGTACTACTTTATAAGAATTTATTTATTTTATTTATGAACCACTTACAGTCTATGTGTTTGTTTTTAGATTATACTACCATATTATTAGAATGGACTATACATTTTATTCATACTGGACATGCAAAACAAAACTGTGCACATTAAGGATCCACTTGAACCGCTACCAGATAATGCATGTTTGAAGGGTTATCATCAAGAAATAGCATATATACCTACATTCCACACTAATGCTAGAATGTTCAATCTCGCCATGGCACTATCAAATTCTAGGTGGAGCGAAAATATTTATTACTGGGAGCGAAAATATCCTAAATATGTAACAAAGGTTTCGGGTCATAAATACTGGTAAGTGTCGTAAAATTTGGTTTAACTTTTCTATAAAAAAACAGTAATTTGATTTATATACATCAAATAAACAACTGATCTTCTCTGTCAGAAAATTGGGAGGCTTTCTTGTCTATAATTTCATGAAATCGTGGGACGGCGTAAGATTGCCACGGATCACCACTGTAAGCATATATAGTCTCCAACTATATTCCGTACACTACATACAATACTAACATATTATATTCTATACCATGCGCAGCTATCATCTACACTGAGGAATGAATTCTTGGCTGACATTTTGACGAGTCCTGCAAACGAATGTTTCAACATCCCTAAAGATGTGCAACAAATGATAAATGACTTACGCCAAATATAACTTAGCCTATAATATAATAATTGGGTAAATGTTAAACTACAAAATAACAAATTGAATGTTTTTATAATTATTCTCTAAATAAAATTATTACGTTAGCACGAGCATTATACCTAAAGATGGCAATGGGAACCCGCGACCCGATACCCGACGGGTATTTACTCCATTAGGGTCTAAATATGGACTAAACACACTATCCACGGGTGCGTAAATGGACCAAACCCTTCACCCATTGAGTACGCGGGTATGGATGTGTTCCAGCAATCCCCGTACCCGTTTATCCATGGGTGAAAAATATCCGGCCCAAAACTAAATAAGCCCACCAGCCCATGTAAAAACCCTAAGTTCACCCACCGGTCTCGCCTGGCGACTTGGCCGCTGGAGCCCTCGACCGCTCGAGGGAGGCTCGACGCATGGCCTCCCACCGTCGAAAAAATAGGCGCGTGAGTAAAGCGCGTCGTTACCTCGTCTCGCCGCTGGCAGCCTGGCACCACAATCACCACTCGCCAAAAAAAACGCCGTCACCGCCAAAAAAAACTACGCCGCCCGCTCGCCACTCGTGACCTCATCTCGGCGTCTCGCGTATTCGCATCGCATCGAAGCGCCAGGAACTCGCCACACTATGCCGGCGACGGGGCAACTCGAGCATGAATGGTGATATGCTATTATTTGTCTAATTTTATATGCTCTGGTTAGTGGTGGTGGTTGCTGTTGAATTGTTGATTTTCATGTGCGTGAATAAATTATTGGTGGGTATGGGTGACTCACCGGGTATGATTTACCCGGCCGGGTATGGATATGGGGAAAATTCCCCACCCATAACAGGTATAGGTATTCTAGCGGTACCAAATTTTTATGGTGGGAATAAATCTGGAGTGGCCATACTGATGGGGATTTACCCATTGGCATCCTTAAGCTAGGACTACTAACTCGATTCGGAACCAAAACCCCCGATATTTCTCAGCTACGAGTTAGCGGTAGCCCTCCCACCGCCGCAAGAACAAACGGAAGAGGGTGAGAGAAAAAACCCGGACCCCTCTCTTCGTCTCCCCTCTTCGGCGGCGCGACGGTAGAGGGATTCCGTCGAACACATCATGGCCGCTCTCGCGTCAGCCGCCCGCTCGAGGCGCCGGCTCCTCCCCTACCTCAACCGCCTCCTCCACTCCGCCTCCACCACCGCAGTCTCCCCGTCGCCCTCCACCAGCCGCTTCCTCCGCCACGCCTCGCCGGTGCCCTGCACCCCTGACCACTCCCCGTACCTCCGGTTCCCCGCCGCGCGCGTCTCCACGCTCCCCTCGGGCCTCCGCGTCGTCACGCAGGCCTACCCGGCCGCCACACGGATGGCCTCTGTCGGCGTCTGGGTCGATGCGGGGAGCCGCTTCGAACTCCCTGGAACCAACGGAACCGCGCACTTCCTCGAGCACATGGCCTTCAAGGGCACCCGGCGCCGGCCCAACGCGCAGGCGCTCGAGGTGGAGATCGAGGACATGGGCGCGCGCCTCAACGCGTATACCTCCCGCGAGCAGACCACCTTCTTTGCCGACGTGCAGGCGCGCCACGTTCCGGCGGCGCTCGACGTCCTCAGCGACATCCTACAGCACCCGCGATTCCCCGAAAAGGCCATCCAGCGGGAGCGCGGCGTCATCCTCCGTGAGATGGAGGAGGTGAGCTTGTTCCACGAATTTGCTGTGCTGTACCTTTCTGGCCCTTCAGACCTCGATTCATTGCTTTACTACCTTAGAGTACTTAACAGTATTCTCGTTGCGTTGCTAATTGGACATACCATTGTGATAAAGGTAAAGGCGAAAACTTTATGGTGTGTTTGGTTTGTGGAGTCATCCTATGCTTCCTGGGGTGGTGTATTATGAGTTCATCCCATGAACTTTGGTGAATCAACCTATTCCTCATGCATGTACTAATTATTAGCTTGTGAGGAATGAGGTGGTGATGGGTCAACTCATTCTGTTCCACAAACCAAACAAAAAAGTGAGGAGTAAGAAGAAGATGGCACACCTCATTCATCAAACCAAACACACCCTTAGATGCTCGATTGGGTTTTCATGTAAAAGTGGGGACTGCGTTATTTTAATGCACATTTGGTATTGCTTTAGCAGGGACATTGCTTATTGAAGTTTCTGTAATTGACTGGTTATTATAAATTAGCGTGGCAACTGGTATCTATTTTAACTCTTAGTTTGAGTCTTACCGCCTGTGACCGGAAGGTCCCGGGTTCGAGTCACGGTCTCCTCGCATTGCACAGGCGAGGGTAAGGCTTGCCACTGACACCCTTCCCCAGACCCCGCACAGAGCGGGAGCTTTCTGCACTGGGTATGCCCTTTAGTTTGCACCCAATGCTATCCATCTCATTCAGCATGGGTTTATCCTACATTTGGAAGCTGGTTCCTATGGGCTATGGCACATATAAACAGATATAATGCCCTGACCCCTGACCGTTGTTTTTATTTGTATGGGAGAACATTTTTACTGGTGCTGCATGCGATTATGATAATTAGCAGTAAATTTAGCTGTTTAGTGATATCCTTATGATTCCTGTGCTACGACAATCAATATATAAATTTTTTTTTAACCATGTAGCATTGCTGGTTTTCCTTTTTAACATTATTCTTCCATGATCATCAGTGAAAAAAATGCTTGATGTGGTTAATAACAGCTCTTGCTACTAAAATGGAACATCTATTGCTTGATGTGGATGCCTGATATGTTTTTATTGAAAAACAGGTGCAAGGTATGATGGAAGAGGTGATATTTGATCACTTGCATGCAGCAGCATTCCAAGGCCATCCACTAGGGGACACAATATTAGGTCCTGAAGAGAATATTAGGTCCATATCTAAGAAAGACTTGGAGCAGTATATCTCAACTCACTATACCTGTCCTCGAATGGTATTTCTTTCTGACAATTCTGAAAGTTCATACACGTTGATTCTTCTTGAGCAGAGAATGTAAAATTTTTATTCTGCTGTCTGGTCTAGGTTGTATCTGCTGCTGGAAGTGTCAGTCACGATGAGGTTGTTGATCAAGTGAAAGAATTATTCACAGAATTCTCCACTGATCCAACTACTGCTGATCAGCTTGTCGAGGCGAACCCAGCTATTTTTACTGGATCTGAGGTCTGGTTTGTTCATACAGTATCTTATCTTATTTAACAATTTCTAGGCCATTTCAAATAATCTTTAATTTAGTTTAGTGTTTTTTTCCCCCCACTCAACTGATCTTCAGCTTTTGTAGGTTCGTGTAGAAAATGCAGAGTTGCCTCTAGCACACGTTGCAATAGCTTTCAAAGGCTCATCATGGACTGACCCTAGCTCCATTCCCCTTATGGTGATCCAAAGCATACTGGGATCCTGGTACAGGAGCATTGGGGTTGGGAACTGCTCAGGGTATGAGAATTCCCTTCCTAGTTTATATTTGATTTGTTAGTAATTTGCTTTCCTAGTGTATTACCACCAAATTACTGTTTAACACTGATGCTACTTATTGAAACTACAAGGTCTTCTTTAGCTCGTGGTATCAGCAATGCTAATTTAGCTGAGAGCCTCATGGCATTCAATACTAACTATCGGGACACAGGAATATTTGGCATTTATACTACTGCTCAGGTAAGTTTGTTGCTCTATCTTTTAAGTTTGTTCTAGTCCAACTAGCCTGAACGTAAGATCGACACTTATAGGATCTCCTGTCTTTTTCCTTTTATCTCATTATGAGTTGTCTTTTGTAAGCTCTGAAATTGCATAAAGATTAATTTAGTATAGTACTCCCTCCATTCATCAATGCAACACATATTTTGATTTGGAAGGTCAAACTTTATGAGTTATGATCATCAATTGGTCACAAATTACATGCATGCTATTATATAGATATTGCATCAATAGTTCGTCTTTGAAATGACTTTAAGATAGTGATGACTATATAGTGATGACTTTATACAGCAATTGAAAATATAGTTAAGATGGTTGTCAAAATCTACTTTTGAAGGCTCTCATTCCAAAATAAGATTTAGATTGATGAGTGGATGAAATAGTGATCACTGATTAGGCGTGCGTATTCCCTTGCAACATTTGTGGTTACACATTTTAATGATCAAGCAGCGAGGATTCTGAATGCCTTCTGGTGGGATAGGACATGTTTGTTTGAGTAAATGAATGGCAATCCAGATCAGATCTCTGGGTTTGGCACTAGGAAGGGGACTTCCTTGTTAAAATGACGAGGGGTATTCATAAATACTCTCTATATATTCCGTCACATAGGCTGAATGTAGCCAATGTCTGGTTAATATATTATATGGATCAATAAACTACTCAGACAATCACTTGTATTTGCACAGCACAAAGTTATATTGAAATTTCCAGTGACCATTCATCTATACCAGATTACCAGCAGCTGAACAAATATATTGATTTGACGGGGATATTGATTGCTACAATGTTTCTTACAATTTGTGAAATCAATTGCAGCCTGACACCCTGCATGACTTGTCACGGCTAATAATGGCGGAGTTTAGAAGACTTGCATCCCAAGTGTCAGAAACAGAGGTTGCTCGTGCCCGCAATCAGGTAGCTGGTTCTGTCCCCAACATCCTATATGCCGGTATATTTTGTACATTTCAGCTGTTAATATCTTTTTTTTGGGTATTGCTATTTATAGTAGAAGAAAAAAGTGATGGGTTACTTTGTCTATCTCCATTAGAGAAGGGAGAAAGCTAATTCTTTAGTTTTTATTGGTCTGACCCTATCTATATATAGAACTATGTTTCATCAAAAACAAGCACATGGCAGTGAATATATATAATCAATATATTATATCCAACGTTATCAAATCGTCTAATCGATCCTAGTCGCCATGGCACCGATCAGCCTGATTAATCGTGACTAATCGTAGTGCATAACTGATCGCCATGGCACCGGTCAGCCTGATTAATCACGATTAGTTGGACAACTTGATAACATTGGCTTTCTCTAGTAAGCCTTGACACAGGTATGGCATGGTTCCTGACATATCGGTGATTTGGTTATACATGTATTTTCTAGTAATCCTATAAGCTAGTAAGCCCATATTCTCCATCCTTCCCTCCCCTGGCAGTGGATATCTTTTTTATTTGGAAAAATTGCTACATGTTGTTGGTCCCTCGGCTGCCCTGCACAGGTAAGCAGTAAGCTTACCAGCACACTCACTCACTATGGCAAGAGGTAGAAGAAGAGATTGAGCTCAAGAACACACACACAACACAAGCCCAGCCCTAGCCGAAGCTCTGCTTCTGAATGTAGCAAACTGAACTGCTCTTTTGCATTGCCTTAGGTGTGATATATATACAAGTGCTAGTACCTCTACCAGGTACATAGTTGTTGGTGAGTACACCAACTACCAACTCCTAAGGTACACCAACTACTCCTAATACTAGCACTACAAAGCTTAGATCAGCCCATTACCAAGACATAGCTGATGTAATAGTTACCAACTAACGTACTAGAGGTGGCCTATTGCCATACTGCTACAACAGTAGAGACTGGACAGCTGAGCTGACCAAATGCCAACTCTGCTGCAGCAAGAGAGAGAGAGATCAACGGCAGATTATGTCTTACAATTCTCCCCCTAATCCTGCTTCTAACCCGATGCCTTGACCTCATCCATGCCAATCATCTTCCTCAGCTCCATGAACCGCAGGCGCCCGAGTGACTTGGTGAGGATGTCAGCGAGCTGTCTGCCGGTCTTGACGAACTCGATGACGATCTGCCCTCCATCGATGCAATCCCGGAGGAAGTGGAACTTGATGTCAATGTGCTTGCTCCGGTCGTGGAGGACATGGTTCTTAGCGAGGGCGATGGCGGGCTGGTTGTCCACCATCAGAGCTGGCGGGTGAGCTTCCTCGCCGGTCAGCTCGCCCAGCAGCCGGCGCAGCTAGACAGCCTGGCACGCCACCGTGGCTGCTGCGACGTACTCCGCCTCGCACGTCGACAGCGCCACGATCTTTTGCTTCAGCGACTGCCAAGCAATGGGGGCCGCTCCAAGGAAGACGAGCACGCCGGAGGTGCTCCGTCGCCCATCGATGTCGCCCGCCATGTCTGCGTCGCTGAAAACAGTGAGCTCCGGCTCACCTTCCTTTGCCTTGGGGGGTGCCTCACTGAAGACCGTGAGCCGCAGCCCACCCTTTTCGCCACTCTTGGGGAAGATGATCGCTTGATCGAGCGTCCCCTTGACGTAGCGCAGCAGCCTCTTCACCGCCGTCCAGTGATCCTCGCGCGGGTCCTCCATGAAGCGACTGACATACCCGACCGCGAACGTGATGTCCGGCCGAGTATGTGTGAGGTAGCGCAGCCCGCCGACGATGCTCCGGTAGCGCATTGCGTCCACCTTCGCCGCCATGCTGTGCTTGGACAGCTTCAGCTGCTCCTCCATTGGAGTTGCGCACGGCTTGCACTCCGACATGCCGCTACGCTCCAGCAGCTTCGCCGCATAGGCGCGCTGGCCTAGGGAGATGTGCTCCTTCCCGTGCCTCACCTCAATGCCGAGGTAGTAGGAGAGCGCGCTGAGATCGCTCATTTTGAAACGAGCAGCCATCTCGCGCTTGAAGCCGTCGATGTCCTCCGCCCGCGCTCCAGTGACGATCAAGTCGTCCACATACAAGCCGACGACGAGCTCCTTCCCCCGTCGCCGCGTGTACAGCTCGTGCTCTGTGGCGCAGCGAGTGAACCCAAGCTCGCCCAAGGTGGCGTCGAGAACGCCCGAGGGGCCTGCCGCAGCCCGTAGAGCGCCTTGCGTAGCTTGAGCACCTTGTGCTCAGCGCCCTTGATGGCGAAGCCCGGAGCTTGCTTGACGAAGACCGTCTCCGCGAGCTCGCTGTTGAGGAACGCAGACTTGACGTCGAGGTGGTGGACGCGCCAATCCTTAGTTGTTGCCATGGCCAACAGCAAGCGAACGGACTCCATTCGCGCCACCGGAGCAAAGACTTCCTCGAAGTCGATGCTCTCACGCTGCACGAAGCCGCGGGCGACGAGCCGAGCCTTGTACTTGACAATGGCGCTGCGCTCGTCCCGCTTCACCTTGTAGACCCACTTCAACCTGATCGGCCTGCAGCCCACTGGTGGATCCACCAGCTCCCATGTCCCATTGTTCTCGATGGCCTTCATCTCTTCCAACATTGCCTGGCGTCAATTGTCGTCGCGTTCAGCCACTGCAAACGTCGGTGGCTCCTCTGCACTAACAAGGAGCAGCTCTGGGTCGTCGAGAAAACGACCGGCCAACCCAGAAGCTCCCCCTTCGCCGACGATGTTGTCTACCTGCTTGAACCGGACCTCCTCGCCGTCGTGGAAAGTGTCCACGTACTCGTCGATGTCGGTGGGTGGAGAGGTGAACTCGATCGGTGGTCTATGGCCTCCCTGTTCTGCTGGAGTGGTCGGCATCGCTGTTGGACCGCTCGGCACCACTGCCGGAGTGGTCGGATCCACTGCTGGAGTGGTCGGCACCACTCCTGGAGTGGTCGGCTCCACTGCTGCTGAAGTGCTCGGCACCCCCTCTGGAGTTGTCGGCATTGCTGCTGGATCGCTCGGCACCTCTTCTCCAGCGTCTCCACCACCGTGAATGACTAAGTGTTCGACGACGAAGGTGCTGCTCAAGCTGTCAGCTTCCCTCGTGCCCGGAACCTCCCAGTCCCAAGCCGCCATCTCATCGAACACCACGTCCCTAGAGATCACCACCTTGCCTCTCTTGGGATCATAGAGCCGATATGCCTTGGTGCCCTCCTCGTAGCCCAGGAGCACCATCGGTGTGCTCCTGTCTTTCAGCTTGCCAAGGTGAGGCTTGGTGTTTTTCACATGGCCGACGCGGCCAAATGTCCTGAGGAAGGACACATTCGGCTTGCGTCCATGCCAAGTCTCGAACGGCGTCTTGCCCTTTAGAGCCTTGGTGGGCGCGCGGTTGAGGATGAACACCGTCGTGGTCACCGTCTCTCCCCAGAGCTTTGCCAGCATGCTTTTGGCATTCATCATGGATCGAGCCATGCCGACCACCGTCTGGTTTCGTTGCTCCACCAAGCCATTCTGCTGTGGTGAGTACGGCGCGGTGTGGTGTCGCACCACACCCTGATCAGTGCAGTACGCAGTGAACTCCACCGAAGTGAATTCGCCGCCGCGATCAGTCCGCAGTATGCGCAGCTTCTTGCCGCTCTCCGCCTCCACGCGCGCCTTGAACTTCTTGACCGCTTCCGCTTCCTCGGTCTTGCTGGTCAGAAGCTGCAGCCACATGAACTGGCTGCAGTCATCCACCAGCAAGGTGAAGTACTTGCGCCCGCCGTGCGTCGCCGGCATGATCGGCCCGTAGAGGTCACCATGGACCAGCTCGAGGGCCTCTGCTGCACGGTACTTCGCTGTCTTCGGGAACGGCAGCCTCCTTTGCTTCCCAGCCAAGCAGCTATCACACAACTCGCCGGCGTGCTCGATGTGGAGCAGCCTAGTCACCATGTTCTCCAGCTGACCAAGAGCGTCGAAGCTGAGATGGCCATACCAGACATGCCACAGCCATGGCTCCTCCGTGCGCTGTGCAGCCAAGCAGATGGGCTGCTCCACCTTCAAGTCGAGCAGGTACAGCCGGTTCCGGGACCTCTTCACCTTGGTAAGAAGCCGCGGCTCCCGGTCCCTGATTCTGAGGATGCTGTCCTTGATCAGTATCTCGCTGCCACGCTTATTCAGCTGGCCAATGCTGATGATGCTTGAACGCAGCTACGGGATGTAATATACATCCGTCAGCGTGTGGTGCTCGCCGTTCTGGCACCTAAAGATGATGGTGTCGCGCCCTCGGATCGCCACCCTTGAGCCGTCACCGAACTTCACCATGCCGGTCACGTTGCCGTCGCGCTCAGAGAAGGCTTCCTTGGAGCCCGTCGTGTGGTTCTTGGCGCGCCGAGTCCGTGTACCCACCGCCGCTCCTCGCCGCCGCCACACGTCCGAGGTGGACTTGGGGGCGCGGTTCGTCGAGGTTGACAGCCTTCAGAGCCTTGCCGTGCCCTTCCACCGCCATCACCTCTCCCTTCTCCTTGGCCTCAACGTCGTGCAGTGCACAGAACGTCGCCATCAGGAGAGTGGCCTCATCCTCATCAGCCTGCGCTAAATGAGCCTCAGTCTTCTCCTGCTTACGATTTGGGCACTTCTTTGCCCAATGGCCCGTCTTCCCGCAACGCCAGCAGGCATTGGGGTCGACCTTCTTCTTCTTCTCCGAAGAAGCCTTGCCGCGGCGCTTGCCATCGCCACCGTGGCTGGAGGAGGCTTCTCCGGACTTCTTCTACTTCATCCAGGTAGCCCACTCCTCTGTCAATAGCAGCTTGCCGCTGTCCGTCGTTGCTGTGTCCTGCTCCATGCGCTCGTCCACCGCCCGCAGACGGCCTGTCACATCCTCAGTGGTGAGGGTAGACAAGTCCAGCATCGTCTCTATGGAGAGAGCGATCTGGATGTACTTCACCGGTACGGAGTGGAGGTACTTGGAGACCGCCTCTTCTTTGTCGATGGTGACGTCGTGGCTCCTCAGCTTGCTGATGAGCGACTGCAGGCGGAGGGAGAAGTCCTCCACCGACTCACCATTCTTGGACTTGAGGTTGGCGTACTTCTGCTTCAGCAGCTGGGCCGTCGCCTTCTTTGCGCGGTCGGAGCCGACGCGCATCGCTACAATAGCCTCCCACGCCTCCTTAGCAGAGTTCTTCGCCCCCAACGGCTCCCTGTACAACGCTGGCACAACAGCGAGGATAGCCTCCAACGCTGACATGTCGTCTTCTTCGTTGTCGGTGCCCTTGTCAATGGCATTCCAGAGCCGTCGGGCTCTGAGCTTGACCTTCATGGTTACCGTCCACTCGCCATAGTTGGTGCAAGTCAGCGTCGGCCAACTGGTGCCTCTGACCTCCCGCACCGTGCGCACAACGACCTCCTGTCGTGGCTGGGCAGCCCCAGCAGCGCCGCTGCTGGCGCCCGTCTCTGAACCGTCCGTCATCGTCGGCGGTTAGTCCGGCGACGGCGCTTGTACGGCTTTGATACCACTTGTTGGTCCCTCGGCTGCCCTGCACAGGTAAGCAGTAAGCTTAACAGCACACTCACTCACTATGGCTTGAGGTAGAAGAAGAGATTGAGCTCAAGAACACACACACAACACAAGCCCAGCCCTGGCTGAAGCTCTGCTTCTGAATGTGGCAAACTGAACTGTTCTTTTGCATTGCCTTAGGTGTGATATATATACAAGTGCTAGTACCTTTACCAGGTACATAATTGTTGATGAGTACACCAACTATCTACTCCTAAGGTACACCAACTACTCCTAGTACTAGCAGTACAAAGCTTAGATCAGCCCACTACCAAGATATGGCTGATGTAATAGCTACCAACTAATGTACTAGAGGTGGCCTATTGCCATACTGCTACAGCAGTAGAGACTGGACAACCGAGCTGACCAAATGCCAACTCTGCTGCAGCGAGAGAGAGAGATCAACAGCAAATTATGTCTTACACATGTTCATAAAGACAAACCTTTCCCTTCCCTTTAAACTATAATGGATTTATGATACCGTGTTATTGTGGACAATTAGAAGCATGAAATATGCTAATATGATGTAACACTGTTGCGACATTCAATTATCGTGACATTCACATATATGTTCCCCTAAATATTGGTGAACTGTAGAGCTTTCTCCTCGTGTAAACACTAATCTGCAACTTGGTAGATCTGGTTTGCATTAGTGGAACCTGAAGCATATTTTAGGTGCAGCAACGCTGTTGCGACATTCAATTATCGTGACATTCACATATATGTTCCCCTAAATATTGGTGAACTGTAGAACTTTCTCCTCGTGTAAACACTAATCTGTAACTTGGTAGATCTGGTTTGCATTAGTGGAACCTGAAACATATTTTAGACTAACACATGTATCTTATGCCAGCTGAAATCTGCTCTGTTACTTCACATTGATGGATCCACCGCAGTTTCTGAGAATAATGGTCGCCAGGTATTCTACTATTCTAGCCTCAACTTCTCAGAATAGCAGCAGCTTCTCCCATCCTGATTAATAAGATTTTTCTTCAACTATCTCGTGCAGATGCTAACTTATGGGCGAGTCATGCCGTTCCTAGAGCTTTTTGCGCGCATTGATGCTGTTGACTGTGCTACAGTAATGGAAACTGCCAAGGAGTATATAATTGATAAGGTAAATCTTCAGAAGTGGCGACTATTCTACTAACTCAGAGTAATAATACAGTATCTTTTGTGAACGGGTCTGTGGTATAGTGGTCATAGGAGCCTTAATAGCATCTTAGGTCCTGGGTTCGATTGTCCGTGAGAGCAAATTTAAACAGACCTAGGTTTAAAAACACCCCTCGTCGGCAGTCTCTCTGTGTCTAGGGCAGCTGGCCTTCGGGGTGTTTCTTGGCCTGTGTGCGAGAAACTTAATGCAATGCTTCCCCACAGGAGTTTTAATACCGTATTTTTTAATACTTTGAGTTACCGGAGGCCTCATGCACTGACGTGATTGGTTTGGCAATTTACAGGATGTTGCTCTGGCTGGAGTGGGACAGCTCACGAATTTGCCAGAGCTTAGTTGGTTTCGCTCGGAAACATGTTCTGATGATGATTTTACTCGAAGAATATTCTTTGGGAATGCAAAATAGTTGAAGCTGTGGCTCTGTTATAGTGTTGTTGTAACTCTAGGTCATTCATTCCAAGAAATTATCAATTGATAGATAGCATCAGCTGTTTCAGTTATTTGTTAGATATTTTCCTTTTGTGTTTGTACTATACTTATTTTGATGCTAAATGTGCAAATAACTTTCTTTGCTGTGGTGCTCTACTTATGAATTCACCTCATCTATGAGTTGTAAGAATAACTTTTGATATAAAGCATATTGAAATGGTTAAGTGGCAAAAGAGGGGACAATGAACTTATGAACAGAGAACCCCAGAACATCAGATATTGCTGTATTCCTGAGTGGATCAATTCAATTGCCCATCTTACCTAGTAATGCGCTGTCAGCAGTTTGAGTCTGCATTAGTTGCAAAACTAAAAGGTTAGAACGAATGGGCTTGTTGAACTGATTTGGTAGAAGACCTGACAGCAAAAACTTTTCAACGAAACGTGGAACCCGAGACATATACGGAGAAAAAGGCCGTATGAGAACAGAAACTCGATTTCTTTTCATACCGGAGGCAGAGACAATGCAGCCGTGCAGGAGCAGGATAGCTACGGCCGTGTTGTGTCGTTTTGTTTTCCCGGCCAGACTGATGACGCTCAGATACACATACACAGGAAACCATTTTTTTTTTTTGAAAAGAACGGCAGGAGCTCTATCTCTCAATTAAGGAAGTTAAGAAACAAAGGTTTATGTACAGGACATGCCCCACCTAGGCGGGCAAAGAAACAGGGCACAAAGGCCGACAAGGCATGCACAAAGATCACAGAAAGCAGCCAAAGCTCATGGCATGCTAACCCCTCCATTCAATAGCCCTTGTTTGTTGTTCAATGTCTTCTTTGACTCTAGTAGCGACCTGCAGCACCGATTCTTGGGCGTTGTTGAATATTTTTCGGTTCCTTTCCTTCCAAAGATTCCAGCTTGTGTAGATCACCAAACCATTGAATCGCCTCCTTTCTTCCTTCGTGACTTTTGTTGCAGCCTCCTCCCACCAAGAGCTGAGGTGAACATGGTCATGTGCAGACTGTATGAGGTGGCTGTCAAAGTTCTCCCAGGTTAGAATTAGACTCCATACCGCAATTGCAAACGGGCAAAGAAGAGATAGGTGGACACATGTTTCCAGTGGACCGTCACAAAGCACACAGTGATCTTGGTGAGGCCATCCTCTTATTTGCAGGTTGTCCGCCGTAAGCACCTTCTCCTGCACAAGGATCCAAGCGAAGACTTTGCATTTGTTTTCCGCCCTAGCCTTCTAGATTAGCTTGCTCTTGAAGGTGGGATATGAGCTTCTGAATTGGATCCTTGAAAGGTCCTTATTTGGTTTTGGTAATTGAGTGACAACCTTAGGTGGAATAATGTGTTTAAAGTGAGATACACAGGTGATTAGTTCACAGGTATATGTGTGTGAGCAACATATGCCATGACGGTGATGATGGCTCAAAGATGTTGCAAAGCTGACACATGTGATGATGAAGGAGCTCATTGCACATGAGACATGACATGTAGTCATGTGATCAAGGTGGAGAAGATCAAGACATGACTTGGCTTGATGGACCGGTTGCAAGCGTGAAGGGCAAGTCGAAGGCTTTGGAGTGATGGACCGCGTGGCGGTGAAGCTTGAGCAAGACTTGGCACCGATGGACGAAGGCAACAGTGAAAAGTAAGTGAAGTCAAGATCGATGAACCAATACGGTAACGTGATGATATGAAGTGGATCATATCATTGTTGATAGTATTGGTGCATGTGTTGCATTGACAATGGAGGAGATGGAATGGAATGCGCAAGGCAGAGGTATAACCTAGGGCATTTTATTTCACCGGTCATAGGTGCGTTGAGAAGTTGATGACCAGGTTTAGGATAGATGGTTGTACTATCAAGAGGAGCAAACTTGTTTGCATATCGGTCATCTAGTGCCACTTGAGATGATCTAACTTTGCATCGTCGCTACGATCGAGTGGCGTGGCAAGTTGAGTGGCTAATCCCTTGAAAATATTTGTGAAAATATGCTAACACACATGCACAAAGGTGATACACATTGTGTTTAGCACTTGGGAGCAAGGGTTCGAAACTTCACCGACGGTGCCACCGGCGCCCTATATAGAAAAGACAGGGTTTCACAGAGTGGACCGGACGTTGGCCTCAACTGGACCGGCACGTCCGATCAGCGGAAGCAGTGAAGACGCTGGCGTCGATCTTCGATCGGACGCTGGGTCACTTCATGACCGGACGCGTGATGAGTGCGTCCGGTCCCGCTGACGTGGCAGCGCAGAGAAGAGGAGAAGGACCGTACGCTGATGCTGCGTCCTATTGTGACCGACCGGACACGTCCGATCGCAAAACGAGGCTCAGGGAGCTCTCTGGAAATGACCAGACTCAGGCGTAGCAGCGTCCGGTCATCTCACTGTGCTGCGTCCGGTCATGACTTGACTGTTGACGCGAGACAGCCGACCGTTGAGATCTAGTGACTGAGGTTGAACGGAGGTGACGCGTGGCGTGCATCCGTTGACCGGACGCTAGCTAGGTGCATCTGGTCGATCTGACCGGAGCGTCCGGTCACCCCGAGCTGTGCCCAGTGAAGGGGTACAACGGCTCTATTTTCGTGGGGGCTATAAATAGAAGGTGGTCTCGGCCATGGCAGGGGCTGAGCACCTCGGGGGACTTTGTGTCCATGCTTGAGACTGCTTGGGAGCCCTCTAACTCACTCTAGCTTGATAGTGTTCATCCGATTGAGTGAGTGAGCGATTCTAGTGTGATTGCATCGTGAGATTACATCAAGTGGCACTAGGTGATCGAGTTGCAAGCCGATGGTGCTTGTTACTCTAGGAGGTTGCCACCTCCTAGACGGCTTGGTGGTGGTCTCCATTGAAGCCCGCTGAAGGGACCGTGACGCCTAAGAGGGGGGTGAATTAGGCAACTTAAAAATCTAACTCCTAAAACTATGGCCTCTTTTTCTTACTCTAGCAAAACCTATGCAAAAGATAAACTATCTTAATGTGCAACTACGGTTTTGCTAGTGTGTTGCTATCTCTACCGCAAAAGGAATAATATGATCAATGTAAATGCGGAAGCTTAAAGAGCAAGATAGAGTTATGCAAACTCCCGTCGACGACTCCGGTATTTTTATCGAGGTATCGAGAAGCGCGCAAGCTCCCCCCTAGTCCTCGTTGGAGCCCCTCGCAAGGAATCCCTCGCAAGGGCCAAGCTCCCGGTCGAGTAACTCCGTGGATAACCTCGGGTCTTCCCCACGCGCAAGTGGGTCTCCGACGTGCCTTCCGGCAAGCCTCTCCCGGATGCTCCCCGTCGTCTTCACTATCAAGCTTCCGACCGAAACGCCGCGGGCCTTGTTCCCTTCGGTACACGGTGGCGGCCGCACCATAAACGCGGTTGGTGCGATCTCGCAAGACTTTAAGCCCCTCCGATGTACAACTCTTGTGCTCGCAAGCACGGGGTGGCAAGAGGTATGCAAACCTCACTAAACACTAGGCATACACCTAGAGCAAGCACATAAGCGGTGGTCTAATCAACCTAAGCACTTCGCAAAGCACCTACGCTAATCACCTGATGAAACACTAAGCACTATGCAAGTGGAGATCACTAAAATGGTGTATCAACACCCTTGGTATGTCTCCTCAGCTCCACTATCGTCAAATGGCCGGTTGGGGGTTGTATTTATAAGCCCCACTGAGAAAGTAGCCGTTGGGGTCAAACTCCCGCGAAACTGCTACTAACCGGACGCTGAATCGTCTTGACCGGACGCGTCCGGTCGTCCGGACCGTTGAGACGGCAAAACACTAATCGGACGCTGGCCAGCATCCGGTCGCATGCTACCGGACGCGTCCGGTCGTAGATATGCCGCTCTAGAACCTTTCTGTACTCGATCAGACGCTGCGTTCCTGCGTCCGGTCGGTTGCTGCCAACGTCCGGTCGCCTGTCTACCGAGTCTCCACCCAGCGTCCAGTCGCTTGTCCAGCGTCCGGTCACCATAGTGAGCTTGTTTCTTCATGATCTTGCGTACGGCTTGGTTTCAATCTTCATGCTTGGACTTTGCTTGATATCTTGGGTCTTCTCTTGTGCTTCTAAGGTCTTGCTTGAGGTGTTGATCATCAGATCATCACATCGCCTTCGTCCAAGTTACGTCTTGCACCCTATTGGACTACAAAACAAACACTTGCAAATTTATTAGTCCAATTTGGTTGTGTTGGTCATCAAACACCAAAATCCAAAGTAAATGGGCCAAGGGTCCATTTTCCTTACACCCGCAAGAAGCTTGTGCGGTGCTCCAGAGAAGAGCATTGTGAGGGGCATTGTGCTCGCCCCATGGGAGCCGCGAAGAGCAACTCAAGTTGAGCGTGTCATTGAGCTACCCTCACTTTCAGGATAAGTTCTTGCAGTGCCCAACATGCGGGCTTGGCAGGTGATGCCAATTAGCCGATGAACCACCAAGTGAGCGGTCGACACAACGGGGACGTAGCGTGTTGGCAAGCACGTGAACCTCAGGAGAAAATCACCGTGTCAACATTGTTCTTCCCGTTGGTTTGCAATCCCCTTACACAAGTTTGTAATTACTTTCATATACATTGTGCTTGTGTAGTTGCTCTTGTAATTAGTTAGCTTGTGTAGCTCACTAGTTACCTTCTTGCTTGTGTAGCATAGAAGTAGCTCCTTTGCGTGGCTAATTCGGTTTGTGTAACCTTGTTAGTCACATTGCTTAGTTTGTGTAGCTAAGTATTTGCGCTCTCTAATTTGGCATTGGTTGCCTTGTTATTGAGCATTGCTAGTGAGCTTAGGAGCTTTGTGCTTTTGCTTACTAGAATTATGTAGGAGCTCCCCGGTGTGCAAAATACTAGTGGCATAGGTTTGTGTGACCTTGCTCCTAGAATTGGATAGGTGAGCTCTAGCTAGCCCGGCACCTTAGTTGCTTAATTAGGATCTTTGCAAGGTGTTAGAGAACATAGATAGAGGGGTGTAGTCTTGGCTAGAC